CCCGGCTAGACCGGAACATGTATAACTGTCTTTAACCCTAGCCAAAAAGGGTTATCCAACAAAGTGCGCTGCACTCCAGGGTTCAGTTGGAAACCCTAAACTTCCATAAACTCTCAAACCCTAAACCGTTAAACCTTAGACTTTATATAAACACCAAACCCGCAAACCCTAAACCCGTAAATCCGCAAGCTGAAAGCCTTATAGAAGCCTTATATAGATCCCTTGGAGAAACCCTAAACGAACTTTGAAGAAGCCATGTCTCCCGCAACAGGTGGATCGCCAGCGTCCAGTTCGCTGCTTCCTGTCTGGGCCACCCTTAACCCTAAACCCTGAACCACTAAGAATCACGCGATGTCGGGGGGTAGGGTTTATAGTCTTTAGCCAGAGGATCCAAGTACCCAACTAGTAGGGTTAAGGTACCAAACTCCATACTCTGAATGGTGCTTTGGTACCTAGAGCCCTATACCCTAAACCCTATAGAGCCCTACCACTTGGGTACTTAGATCCCCTGGGCGAAGGTTCAAGGCGCTTGGGGTTTGGGTTTTAGGGTTTGAGGTCCGTCCAAGACAAAGATACAGGTTTAGGGTTTAGGGTGTTATATAGGCTTTTTGGCGTTTGTAGGGTTTCAGGCTATTCTACGAGTTGCTTCATGGGTCCTGTATATGGGTCCCAAAGGACTCTGTACGGGTTCAGGGAATTTAGGGATGAAGGCTTGTTTTTAAATACAAGGGCCTTAATGATCAGAGTAGTGCAGTGGGCTGGTATGGTGGAACTAACTAAGTTCAGGTAAATGGACAAGAGGAGGGTACTGTTGATGACATAAATCCTGCATTACCTTAGGGACCCTAAACAATGGGAATTATGGTATGCTCCTTATTATGGGTATCCCTACACCCTAAACCTTAAAGCCTAAAACCTAAACTCTAAACCCTATACCCTTAACCCTATATCCCTCATTCTGAGTAGTGCAGGATTTATATCATCTAGGTTCCCCAGTAGACCCCTAACAACAAGGGCACCCTTTTCCCGTACTCTTTGGGTTTAATAAGGGACCCCAAAAACAAAAAGGGCAAAAGGGGTTCTACCGGAGAACCTAGTCATCAGCAGTATCACCTCAAATTATTGAGACCGTTGCATCAAGCCCGCCGCCCATCGACCTAGCGAGTCTCTGAAAAATCCTAAGGTTTAGGGTTTAGGGTTTAGGAATCAGGTATAGGGTTTATGGTTTAGGGTTTAGGGACTTCCCATCAAGGAAAAAGCAAACAACAACATCCCCGTGACCTGCCTAGAAATCGTGCAAAGGTATGCTCATGTTGTTGTTTTGTATTTGTTTTTGCGCCTGTCCTCACAAGCAGAGATGGCTGCACTGAAGCTGACCACGGTTGGTTGTTGACTGATCCTTCAGGGCTTAGGATTTGAGGGTTTAATGCTTTGGTTGTTGACCGATCCTTCAGGGTTTAGGATTTGAGGGTTTAGTGTTTTGCGAGTTGGCTGTTCCTTGAAAGGATTAGGATTTGAGGGTTTAGTGTTTGGGATTTTAGAGTGTATGCAGTTTATAAAGTCTTATAAGAACCAGATTCAAGCCTTTAAGGCTTTGGGGTCGGGGGTTTGGAGCTTCAGGGCGTTAGCGCTTCTTCGGTTGGCGTCAGAGCCGCTAGGCTTTAGGAATATCGGTTTAGGGTTTAGGGTTTAGGGTTTAGGGTTTTGGGTTTAGGGTTTAGGGTTTAGGGTTTAGGGTTAGGGTTTATTTAGGAATATCATTTCGGTCAGCCACCCTGAAAAATGACAGTTACCACACCGGACCAGTGTAGGCAGATTACGCCCACTTGAGAGGTGCGTGGGTGGTTATCAACGAACAGATAAAGAAGGTAACCATAATTCCGAGTCACCTGTAAGCCTACTTAAAACCACCCATGAATCGTTCATGTACCCTGAACGCCAAACCCTTCACCTAAAGTCTGGCTGTAAGTAGGACATACTTTTGATAATAAAAACCCAGCCTTACCCATAATGAGGGATTTACCATAATTCCCGTAGTTCTTGGGCCCTTATAATTAAATTAAGGTAATGCAGGACTTTTATCATCAACCCTAAACACTAAACCCTAAACCCTAAACCCTAAACCCTAAAGCGGATTGACCCAGGACGGAGCTGGAGTGACCCAAGTTCTCCCCAAATCCTGGCGAAGTCGGCGAGAAGTCCTAATGAATGACGCCATGCGCCACCCTTCTCACAAGCGCTGATGGCCGCGTTGTAGGTGACAACATCAGGCGAGAGCCTGAATGGGATTTCGGCACCTTAGGGTTTAGGGTTTAGGGTTTAGGCCGGGGTTTAGCGTTTCAGGGCCTAGGGTTTAGTTGGAGCGGGTGATGGGTCTCAACACGGTTTGTCAAGCGGTAACTTACCGGTGTTAGAAGTTCTGTAAAGCTTTGGAGCTTACACGGGTTCGAGCCAGCATGTTCGAGCTTAGGGCTTAAAGCTTCCTGTGCAATTAAGGACGCCTTTCCGAACAAGCCTAAACTCTATAGGACTCTTGTACAACCCTTATAGAGCTCTCGCACAAATCCCAGCGTTTCGACCGAACCCCATGTATCCTACAGCCGAAACCCTACAACCCAAACATGAAAACATAAGCATCCCTCAAACAAAGGGGGCTTGCTACGGAAGGTCCACACAGTAACCCTCAACTCCATTAATGTAGGGGCCTTAATAATTAGAATAGGGTTCTGGGGTATATTATACTGTAATTATAAAAAGAACCCCCCCCCCCCAATAATGTACGTAATTGTTAAGGCCCCTACATTACGCAATAAATCACTCGGATACGATCCAGCCCTGGCGATATCGACATCTTTACCAAACCCCAGGGACAGGAATGCTTTCACAAATTACCTGTAGGCTCATACCCTACCCCTTTTTTGGGGGGTACCTACTTTTCGATATAACAGATCCTAGCCATAAAACTAGGTACCCTTAAAGCAGGAGCAGGGTATGACCCTCCTGGTATTCAGACCTCTCTGCGAGAGAAAGCTTGTGGAAGGGACCAACCCAACATCCCAAAAAGCTCTAAGTTAAGCTCAAAGCCACCCCAGTGGCAATCGGCATATGATCATACCCTAAACAAAGAAACCCTAAACCCGAAACCCCTAAACCCCTGAACCCTAAACCCCCTAAGACCCCTAAGCACCTAGTCCCGCAGCCTAAGGTTGAAGAACCCTTCAAGCCTACACCTCGAAAGCACGTTAATGGGAGGAGGGTTTAGGCCTTGCTGTTTAGGGCTTAGGGTTCAGGGGCTTCCGGTTCTTAATGGGAGGAGGGTTTACGGCTTGCTGTTTAGGGCTTCGGGTTTCCGATTGTCAATGGGAGGAGGAGGGTTTAGGGCTTGCTGCTTAGGGCTTAGGGCTTGGGGTTTGGGGCTGAGGGTTTCCAGTTGTTAATGAAAGAAGGGCTTAGGGCTTGGGGTTCAGTGCTTAGGGCTTCGGGTTAAGGGTTTCCGGTTTGGGGTTTGGGGTTTGGGGTCCATAGGGTTCCCGGTTGTTAATGGGAGGAGGGCTTAGGCCTTGGGGCTTTGGGTTTAGGGTTTAGGCTTTCCGGAAACCCTTAACCCTAAACCCC